CCACGCCCATAGGGTGTAAAACACAACAGCACAAAACAACTGACACATGGTGGGGCGCCGAGATCGCATTCATTCATACCAGCAGCAGCAGCAGCACATGCGACCTCGGGTCTTACGCCTCGCACACGCACAAGGAGCATCTTCACACAACACATACACACTGGCAGCGGCGCAACCTTGTACGTCCACTATCCTGTCACCCCGGTATTAACTGGCAACCTCCAACCCCATCGCCGTCCTCCTTTACACGCACACACACAGTGCGCAGTGGCGGTACCGTAGTCAGTGACTTGCGCTGCATCTACCTACACTCTCTCCTCCACCCCCGCCTGAGCCCGGTGTCAAGACAGAGTCAAGAAGACCGGAGACGAGGGAGGCCGCAGGTGGATGGCTCGGACGGATCCTCACCTTGGCGTTCCACCACACACCCTGGTCCACACAACAAATAACCAGGATTTAAACCAACAAAACAGAGATTTGGAGGTTGGCACGGTCGAAGCCGCACCCAGACGTGCCGCCAACGCCTGGCTCGGATCCCACACTGTGGTAGGAGTGCCATAAAGGCCACACTGAATAGAAGCCATTGCAGCCTGACTCTCAGACCGCCTCCAGTGAAGGAGGAGGTCCAAGGTACCCCGTCAGTTGGCAACCTTCCAAGCCACGGCTTTTAGCGCACCGTGATAGCTTCAAGCGCGTCAGATTGTTTATAGTGAGGAAAATGCGCTGAGTCGACGACCTCACTCTCCCTTCCCATCCCCACACCCCAACCGCCGTCCGAGCCGGTCGGCAAACTGGAGTGGAGAATGGGCGCGGTGGTTGACACGGTCGACTGACCATGCCTGCGCGCGCCATAGCACGACCTGGCCCCCATACACACACAAACACCAGGATTTCACACAACGGGGGATGAACGGCTTGTCTCTCACTTGCGTGAGAGGGCCGTGGAAGGTGTTGCTTCAGCCCGTCCCCGGCCCACCAGTCCGCCACTACACACAACACACACACACACACAACGTGACGAACTGCATGAACCGAGAACGGGCGTCAATTAGCAACCTTCCTATCCACGACACTTAACGTGTCGGGCTAGCCCTGGACTCAAGTCACCCGTGCAGCCGAGGCCGCATGGGGACCGAGTCGAGATGCACACTTCCCACTTGCGTGGAAGGTGGCAGTTGGTGCATGCGGTGGGTGATTGTTGATGCGTAGTGGTGATGGTGGAGGAGGGTATGGAGTGTGTGAATGTGTGGTGTAACCGGCGGCTGTCTACCGCAGGTCGTCGTGGAAGCGCATGTGACCGAATAGACCCATGCGGTGCCCGAAAGTTCGAGGACAGTGTGGGCAGTTGAGTTGAGCTTGGTGGGTGTAGGTTGGTGCGACAGGCACTGGTTTGCCAGTCTCTGTGCGATGGATTCGCAAGTGACCGATCAGGCCTATGCGGGAAGTGAAGGTGCGATCGCAGTGAGGGCAGATGTAGTCCTGGCCCTCACCTCTGATTATGGAGGTTGCAGGGATTGTGCCTGTTGTTGTGTCAGGTGCGGCAGTGGTGAAATCGTGCGCTACAGACGCCGGAGTGGCCGTCGTTGTGGCAGTGAAGAAGGAGGACGAGGAGTAGGACGGGGAGGAGTGAGGGGTGGTAGAGTCGGCTGCGACGATGTCGGTTGGGGAGTCGTTGGTGGGTGCGCAAGGTGATGAATTGGGAGTGGGGCTCGGCGGGAAGTTCGCCACCACTTGCAGTTGGGTTCCGTTCACGCTGATTTGCGGCGGCGCGTTGAGGGCTGGGGCTGAGTTGGGTGGCGGTTGGTGCATCACCACCGTCTTCTTCGTGTTAATGACCAGCCCAAAGTTTTCGCAGGCGGCGGAGAACAGGTCCATGCTCCGCTGCATCTCCTCTTCCGAGGTGGTGTTCAGGGCGCAGTCGTCGGCGACGAGAAGTTCGTGGACGGTGGTTGTGGATGCGCGCGATTGGAAGTTTATGCGCCCTTGATTCAGCAGACGACCGACCGTTCTGTAGGCGATGCGGATCCCGGGGCTTTCATCGCAGTAGGCGTCCATCAGCATGGCAGAGAACAATTTAATTATCCGTAATATACCCCACATCGTTAATCCGACGCCATCAATTCAAAATTTTATGCATTCGTGTGGCTTAAATACCAGAGTAGCTAACACGAAATGACTTCACTCCAGAAGCAAAAACAAACACCTCTTAGAAACCTTCTACTCACAGGCGGAAGCTGAGATTGTCCTACAAAATGCCGAAGTAAATAGAAATCTGCTAAGCCCAAACTCGTTTATAGGTCCAGATTTGACACCTATGCAAAGACGTAAACTTCGGGAAAAAGACACCAGCTACAAATACGATAATCAGCACTCCGGTCCCCCAACTGAACCTTTAGCCACTACTTCTACTTCTAGCACTGATAAAAAGAAATACACAGGCCAGCGTAAACCAAATGATAAACCCACAGCCCCCGCAGAATGATCTACAGTAAGCACGTCTGACTCTAGTTCTCATGATAAAAAACGCGCAACTGCAAAAGTATTTAGGACTGCTGGTCAGAAGCAAACGAGAGAGGCACAACAACATAACAACGTTCAACCAGAACAGAACGATGATGCAGACCCCGACCGAGTCATGTGACACCCTTAGATAGCAGTATAAGTTTTACTACATCCCCCAAGACCGATCAATCAGTACGAGAAAACGACTGCCAAACAAGACACATAAACCAAAAGGCCTTACTAAGCACACCAACACAACCAAAACGCCCTAGGTATGTT